CATACCTGGCTTAGCTGATCACTGATGGTCAAACCTAACTGTTTACTGCCTTGGTAGACATACTTTGCCCGTCTAGTTTTTGCCTCTTGGTTTCTAGGGACAATGGCCTATGATCCTGTCTGTGGGATTGACATGGATCATCCACCAGAAGTACATGAGATAGAGACTGTCTTACACTTTCCACCCACTTCCCACCCAGGCCCAGCTTTGGCATATAGTAGGCAATTAGTAAAGTTTGTTGTTGAATAATTTACTATATCTTCCCTTGCAATGTCTTGGCAAGCAACCTTTTCTTTCTTTTTTTTCCTTGGGCAAGTAAAAAATATTCTTTTTAAAGGTATCATTAATGTTTCCATTGCATTTATATTCAAAGCAAATAATAATCATGGTAAATGTAAATAATATTATGTTGTAAGTGCTATTTTCTGTGTAGCTTACAGTGAATTTAATTGTACAACCTCCCTGTGATTTAAATCAAGGTAGATACTATTATCCTTACCAGATGAGGAAACTCAGGTATAAAAAAGATAACCAATTTGCTTGACTTTTATTGAATGAAGCAAAAGTTTGTAAGGTTGCAGATAATAAACTATGCGTGATACACTGTAACGATGTATATCTGTGTAATTATAATTATAACTACGCTAATTTTAAACGTTCCTTTTCAAATATGTTCATAGGAGAAAAGAAGGAAGATCAACATTTATCCCAGTACCCAGAATTAACCACTTTTGTGTAAATATAATCTTTTCTGTGCCTAGCTAAAATAGTTTTTGTGTTTATAAGTTGAGCCTAGCATTATTGTGCTTTTAGTTATTAGTATGTTTTAATATCACTCAATATTTTCAGTATGTTATTTTTTTAATTTCTATTATTTCTTTTGAGATAGTAGTCTCACTCTTTGCCCAGGTAGAGTGCCATGGCGTCCAGCCCAGCTCACAGCAACTTCATCTCCTGGCTCAAGCGATCCTGCTGCCTCAGCTCCCAAGTAGCTGGGACTACAAGGCATGCGCCACCATGCCTGCTAATTTTTCTATATATACTTAGTTGCCAATTAATCCTTTCTATTTTTAGTAGAGATGGAGTCTTGCTCTTGCTCAGTCGGGTTTGAACTGTTGACCTTGAGTGATCCTCCCGCCTCAGCCTCCCAGAGTGCTAGGATACAGGCGTGAGCCACCACGCCTGGCCTCAGTATCATTTTATACTATGTATTTAACATAATTGATTAACCAGTCGTCCATTGTTGACTTTTGTTTACAGGTGATTTTTTTTGCCACTATACATAATACTTAGTGAATATCCTTGAAAGTAAAGTCTTCTATATGTTTTTTTTTCTTTTCTTTTTTAAGAAATGAGGTCTCTGTATATTGCCAGCTAATCTTGAACTCCTAGCCTCAAGCAATCCTCCTGCCTCAGCCTCTCAAAGTACTAGGATTATAGGTATGAGCCACTGTGCCTGGCATTGTATATTTTTAGGATAAATTCTCCAAAGGGGAATTTCTGGGAAATGAGTGAACATCTTATAAGCAAAGGGTTTTTTGTTGTTGTTTGTTGTTGTTTAAGTGAACTACAAAAAAGAAATCTGGGATATATATAACAGACTTAATATCAGTGATATACACAGGGCTTTTATCAATTAAAAAACCCACAGACTCACGCCTGTAATCCTAGTACTCTGGAAGGCTGAGGCAGGCGCATTGCTCGAGGTCAGGAGTTCAAAACCAGCCTGAGCAAGAGCGAGACCCTGTCTCTACTATAAATAGAAAGAAATTAATTGGCCAACCAATATATACAGAAAAATATCCGGGCTCGATGGTGCATGCCTGTAGTCCCAGCTACTCAGGAGGCTGAGGCAGCAGGATTGCTTGAGCCCAGGAGTTTGAGGTTGCTGCAAGCTAGGCTGACACCACGGCACTCACTCTAGCCTGGGCAACAAAGTGAGTCTCTGTCTCAAAAACCACAGATATAGTAGAAGAAAAAATGTGCAAAGAACATGTATTAGAAAATCACATAAAAAGAAATACAAATGCTATGGTCTAAATATTTGTGCCTCCCCACACCTCAAATTCATATGTTGAAACCTACCACCCAAGATGATAGTATTAAGAAGTAAGACCCTTGGGAAGTGATTAGATCATGAGGACAGAGCCCTCACAAATGGGATTAGGGCCTTTACAAAAGAGGCCCCTGGGAGAGCTTGTTTGCCCCTTATACTATGTGCAGCAACCAGGCGTGGTCTATAAGGAACAGGTCCTTAGCAGACACTGATTCTCCCTTTGCCTTGATCTTGGACTTCTCAGTTTCCACAACTGAGAAATTTCTGTGGGTTTTTGTTTTTTTTTTTGTTTTTTTTTGAGACAGAGTCTTGCTTGTTGACCAGGCTAGAGTGAGTGCCGTGGCATCAGCCTAGCTCACAGCAACCTCAAACTCCTGGGCTTAAGCAATCCTCCTGCCTCAGCCTCCTGAGTAGCTGGACTACAGGCATGCGCCACCATGCCCGGCTAATTTTCTATATATATTAGTTGGCCAATTAATTTCTTTCTATTTATAGTAGAGACGAGGTCTCGCTCTTGCTCAGGCTGGTTTCGAACTCCTGACCTCGAGCAATCCGCCCGCCTCAGCCTCCCAGAGTGCTAGGATTACAGGCGTGAGCCACCGCGCCCGGCTCAGTGATAAGTTTTTAACCCATCAGGGTATAGGAAAATGAGCATAGCTGGAATATAGATAGTTTTCTGGTAGACTGCTTGGCCTTATGTATCAATATATAAAATGTTTGGCCAGGCGTGGTCACTCACACCTATAATCCTAGCACTCTGGGAGGCTGAGGGAGGATTGCTTGAGCTCAGGAGTTTGAGACCAGCCTGAATATGAGTGACACCCCGTCTCTACTAAAAATAGAAAAATTAGCTGGGCCTTGTGGTGAGAGAAGGAGGCTGAGGCAGAAGGATTGCTTGAGCCCAGGAATTTGAGGTTGCAGTGAGCAATGATGATGCTATGGCAGTCTAGCCTGGAAAACAGAGTGAAACTGTCTCAAAAGAACAAAATAGGGCTGGGTGGGTGTGGTGGCTCACGCCTGTAATCCTAGCACTCTGGGAGGCCGAGGCAGGAGGATCACTCAAGGTCAGGAGTGTGAAACCAGCCTGAGCAAGAGCGAGACCCTGTCTCTACTAAAAAAATAGAAATTAATTGGCCAACTAAAAATATATAGAAAAAATTAGCCGGGCATGGTGATGCATGCCTGTAGTCCCAGCTACCCAGGAGGCTGAGGCAGGAGGATCGCTTGAGCCCAGGAGTTTGAGGTTGCTGTGAGCTAGGCTGACACCATGGCACTCTAGCTCAGGCAACAGAGTGAAACTGTCTCAAAAAAAAAAAAAATATAATATATATATGTATATATATATATAATGTTGATAAAATCTTTTTACCCAGCAATTTCAGTACTAGGGATTTATCCAGACAGGTGTATTAAGATATCTGTGCAAAGATGGTTTTTGCAGCACTGTTGTTAAACCTAAAAAACTGGGAGGATAAAACCTTGAGCTTCTATCAATATGGAATTATTTATATACATTGTGTTACATTCCATAATGAATTATTTACCAGCCATTAAAAGAATCAGTGTGCCATTATGTAAGTCCAAAGCTTATTGTTGAGTGAAAAAAACAACATATTAACATAGAGGAATAATTATTCATTTAATATAATATTTATTGAGCACCTGCTTTGTTAAGCACTGGGCATGTATAGGTGCTGAACAAAACAGCTCTGGTCCCTAGAACTATACATAAATCTGTATGTGAATACAAGCATTAAGAGGAGTGTAAAAGGATGTTCACCAAAATGGAAGCAATAGTTACCTCAGTAATAAGATTCAGGTTTTAAAAAACTTCTTAATACATTTTCTATTGTCTTGTGTTAAAAATATAATTTATATTGAACATAATTTATATTGATATACAATCAAAAATCAATAAAGCTATTTTCATAGTCGAGGGAGAAGTTAACAACTTCTGTAATCAATGACATGGTTTTTCTCAGGACTTTTGGGGAAAAGTACTGTTCATTCTTTTCCCACTTATGAGCAATTTTGGCCTGTCCCCCAAAAATAAACACAAAATATTTAAAAGAGAAAAACCATGGTGTTTCTTTTTTTTTCCCAGAAATTTGTTTTTAAGTTAATCTTGAAAAACATACAATATTATACAAAGTTTTAATTTTACTCTTATTTTTAAAATAGGAAAATATTTCTGGAGAATAAAAATTATAAAATGATAGGGCCTAAAAATTGTATGGTGTGCTCTTCATAAAACATATAATCCTACATTAATATATTATGTAGGAGATTCAAGCCTCTAATATAACTCTTCCCATTAGATAATCTATAACTGTAATGAGTTCCTGTATTAATATATTTCTTACTTTTTCTATGCACAAATGCATTAATGTAAAAAAAACTACCCTACCCTACTTTTTTAATTCAACAATTACTTTGAACATATTTTATATTAGTTTGTGATTAGAATATATTCTGATAAATATATCTCTTAAAAGGGTAAAAAGCCACTCCATAGTTTGACATCTTTTTTTTTTACCTGAAATAGGCTCGAACAAAAGTAACATAAGATTCACCTTACAGTGTGAATCTGTGAATGAGTCTAAACATATTAGTATTTGCTAAATTTAGAACATGAAAAATTTTAAAACGAAGAGTTCTATAAGGTAGAACTTTCTGATGTATTTAAATACGACCCTGCCTTTTCTGAAAAACATCGACTGAGATTATAATCATGGGAGTTCCATTTCCAGCTCATTCTGTTCTTAATCAATCTAAAACTCCACGTGCAATGTAAACAGTTTTAAAAAGTCTCAAAAAATTAATCCCTGTCTTTAAAGCCCTGATCGCCGGAGCCGCACACAACCTCCGTGCAGGCAGACTCCTCCCGCTTCTGGGGAAAACCCTGCCTAATATTTATAACGTTATGACATACTGTAATACTCACAAGGTGGTTGTAGAAGTATAAACACGACTGGAGTTATCTGATTGGCTGCTGGTGATGTAACACCCATGTCAATACTTCCCAGTGAACGCACGTGTTCGACCTTTTATTTAAATTTCCATTTCATCACAGCAATAAGACACTCGGGGCGGTGCGTTTTCTGCGAAAAGATGATCGCCGTGGACCTGAGGCGCTGCCTCGCGCGGCGCACCGCAGGAGGTGCCGGCGGTGGTCGCCGCCTCGCGTGAGAGGCAGCGCCTGGTCCAGCCTTTGTGAAGGAACAAAATAAGTTCACTTCCTCGGGCACCGCCGCCCACCCCCGGCGAATGACAGGGCTGGAGCGCAGCTCCCACCGCACAGTGTTCGCAAAGTCCCAGGTGAACTCGTGGCGAGAGAAGGAAAATGTGCGTCCCGGGCACGGGTAGGTGCGTGTGGGCAGCGGGGAGGCGGCCAGAGCCTGACACTCGCCAGCTGTTCGTGCTCCGCGCAGCCCGGCCCCGGCCGCACACGCCCGCCCCTCCCCGAGACCCCCGGCCAGCCGCCCGGCCTTTTGTCCCCCGCCCCTCCGCCGACTTCCTTCCCCGCGGCCGCACCCCCGCCCCCAGGCCGGAGGCGCGGCCCAGCCCCTTTCCCGGTCCCCAGGCGCCCCCACCCCACCCCACCCCAGCCCAGCCCCAAGCCCAGCCCCCCTCCCCCAGCCCGGCCCCCACCCTTTCCCCCTCCAGCGGTTACTGCTACCCCGGTGCATTGTGGGCGCACGGTCCGTTGTTCATTTGCCATTCGACCTCCGCCAGGGCCTGGTCGGACGGAAACGCTCCGCCGGCTTTATTGTCGGTTCGTTATGTGGCGGAGCCCAGCAGTTTAACGTGCCTCTCGTCCGCAGCGCCTCGGAAGCCCGCGGTGGCGTCGGGACTCGTCGGCGCGCCGGAGGAAGGATATCTGTTTGGAGGGTCGGTGTGTGCGCGCGGCTTTAAAGAGGGGGCAGCGGAGGGACCCCCGCACTCCGCCTCTCAACTTCGAAGGCCCCACGCGACCCGGGCTCGCTCCTCACCTCTCCGCCGCCCGCCCCCTTCTCCGCGCGGGACGCTGCTCGGAGCGTAGCGGGGCGGGGGTGGAGGACGCCGAGAGCGGTCGGAGGCGGCGGCGGCCCGGCCGCAGCGGCGGCGGCGGCGGACGCGTGCGGCAGTCCCGGGAGCGAGCGCGAGCCGGCGGCGGGGCAGGAGGGCGAGGCCGAGCCCCAGCCCCGCGAGACCGGAACGCCGGGGGCGGGGGCGGGATCGAGACGCAGGGGGAGCCGCGGGGAGCGCGCGGGACACGGCCCGAGGCCGCGCGCGAGCCGGGGCAGCGGGCGGCGGCGCGCGCCATGTCGTTCAGTGAGATGAACCGCAGGACGCTGGCGTTCCGAGGAGGCGGGTTGGTCACCTCCGGCGGCGGCGGCTCCACGAACAATAACGCTGGCGGGGAGGCCTCAGCTTGGGCTCAGCAGCCGCAGCCCAGACAGCCCCCGCCGGCAGCGCCGCCAGCGCTTCAGCAGCCCAATGGGCGGGGGGCCGACGAGGAAGTGGAATTGGAGGGCCTGGAGCCCCAAGACCTGGAGGCCTCCGCTGGGGCGGCCGCCGAGGAAGCCAAGGAGTTGCTGCTCCCCCAAGACGCGGGCGGCCCCACCTCGCTCGGCGGCGGTGGCGCGGGGGGCCCCCTGTTAGCGGAAAGGAACCGTCGGACTCTGGCCTTCCGAGGAGGCGGCGGCGGCGGGGGTCTCGGCAACAATGGCAGTAGCCGCGGCCGCCCCGAGACCTCGGCGTGGCGCCTGAGGCATTTCAATGGGCGAGGGCCGGCGGCTGTGGATCTGGAGTTGGACGCGCTGGAGGGGAAGGAGTTGATGCAGGACGGCGCGTCCCTGAGCGACAGCACCGAAGACGAGGAGGAGGGGGCGAGCTTGGGCGACGGCAGCGGGGCGGAAGGCGGCAGCTGCAGCAGCAGCAGGCGGTCGGGCGGCGATGGCGGGGACGAAGTGGAGGGCAGCGGGGTGGGAGCTGGCGAAGGAGAGACTGTCCAGCACTTCCCGCTCGCGCGGCCCAAGTCTTTAATGCAGAAGCTACAGTGCTCCTTCCAGAGCTCCTGGCTCAAGGACTTTCCCTGGCTGCGTTATTCCAAGGATACTGGCCTTATGTCTTGCGGCTGGTGCCAAAAGACCCCTGCGGATGGGGGGACCGTGGATCTTCCCCAACTGGGGCATGATGAGCTTTCGCGAGGGACCCGCAACTACAAGAAAACCCTTTTGCTGAGGCACCACGTCTCCACCGAGCACAAACTCCACGAAGCCAACGCCCAGGTACAGTATATCCTGCTCCTACTTCTTGAGATCTTTTGGAAAGGTTTAGCAGCAAAAAGAAAGAAAAAACCATTTTTCTAGGTGAAGGCATCGTTCCAGTTGAGAGGTGCAGGGAGCATAAGCATGGGGATTTAGAAACCCTGAGACACAAGTTTTCAAAAGTTGTGTGTGTGTTGGGGGAAAGGGGGTGGACTGACAATTTTCTAATCGTAGCGCTGAAGTATGTTTTATGACTCAGATTTCCTTGCTTATCAGATTGAATCAGAAAGAGAGGTTGAAGTTTTTAACCTAAAAGGTTGACTTGCGGTCATTTTATTAGCTGTGATTTTGGAGAAGCTGCTTTATGTTAATAGATGTTTAATGTGCTGGTGGAAGTCAAATCTGGCAACTCTTTGAAGAATGGATTAAACAATTTCCTTAACCTTTAACGCTAACCCTTTCAGGAAAACAGCCGAAAAAATTCTTTATGTCCGGTCAAGATAATGTGAGATATGAGAGCAATATGTAAATGAGGAGGAAGCTATTTGGAACTCCTTTCTCTTGTGAATAATTTTTCTAAATTCATAAGTGTTGAACTTGTTGAACTTTATTACCAGGGCTTTTTGCTAAATTATTGTCGTTTTGCTTGTTTGACTTCTACCCAGATTTCTGTGCTGAGATTTTTTTCATATCGTTCCTTTTCAGTTTCTTATAAATGCAGCTTACATTAAGTACTTTAAACTTAGCATTAGAAATGCTTGATGCGAACTTCATTTGCATCAAGTAGTTGATTTGGACTGATAGGCAATTTATTTACCAAACTCTTTGAAAATCCCACGTCCTTTCTTACAAAACAAGTAAGCTGTACTTTAGTTCCTTAGTCCTTGTTTTAACCTATCTAGACTAAAGATAGTAAGTAGCCTTACTATTTTGATATCTTTTCAAACCAAACAGATGTTGATCAGTCTTTTTTTACGACTTAGACTACCTGTGGTGGTAGATGGAATTCATTCTTTTGTATCGGTAGCCAGTCACTGGTTTTAGAAAGTTAACTCAAATATTAGTTTATTGGAGTGATCCTGCTGTTCAGCACACTTATACTAGAGTTAATTAAGCACACCAGTAACCCAATAAAGCACCCATGTTTCTCAGAAGTCAGGGCTTTAACTTTAAAGCACAGGGTTATTTTTTTCCCAGTGGACAATGCAGTAGTTTTTTGTTTTGTTTTGCATAAATTTTAGTTGCCTAAGTCCTACAAGGAAGGTCACTTATATATCTTTAAAGCCCAGAAAAGTTTAGTAAGTTGTCCTAACTCTTAAAAGTCAGGGTGACAACTGAGACTAAGCGCCTATAAGGAATGTCGTAATGGAAAAGGAATGGGTTTGTAGTAAATCTGGGTTCAGATCTCAGCTTTCTGCAATTACTAGCTTTGTGAGCTTGGACAGTGGAGTGAGATAGAACTAACATTTCCTTGTTTTCTCTGTGCCAAACACACATTTGATTTACTCTGGAAAATATTTTTGTTCCCATTTTACAGAAGAGGAATCTAAGGCTTTAAACGGTTAGGTAATATTCCTGGAGTTATTTATAAAGATGATGGAGGTGTGGGGGACTTGTGAAAATGAGTTTAATTTTTCAAATAATAGTAGGTTGGTTATTTAGAAAATTTTTAAAAAAGAATTGGAATGAATTTTCTTAATCTACTGTGGACCAGTTACTCCTTATCAGCATACTCTCTCCCTGTAGGCAAATTTGAGTGAGAATGCAAATTATAGTTAGCTGCTTAGTGAACCTGAAATCAGAGGAAGGGGAATTAGTTGGATAACCTTAAGGTAGACTTAGCTGAGGTGTATCCTTCCCCCTAGGCATATATCTGGATCATGGAATTGCTAGGTAAAACCTTTTCCAAACTTGACCTCTGAACTGTGCCTTTGTTCCTCTTTTCCCTCTTGAAATTCCCTTTCTTTTTTTTTTTTTTTTTTTGAGACAGAGTCTCACTCTGTCGGCCCAGCTAGAGTATTGTGGCATCAGCCTAGCTCACAGCAACCTCAAACTCCTGGGCTCAAGCAATGCTTCTGTCTTAGCCTCCCGAGTAGCTGGGACTACAGGCATGTACCACCTTGCCCGGCTAATTTTTTATATATATTTTTAGTTGGCCAGTTTCTTTATATTTTTAGTAGAGACGGGATCTAGCTCTTGCTCAGGCTGGTTTTGAACTCCTGACCTTGAGTGATCCTCCCACCTTGGCCTCCCAGAGTGCTAGGATTACAAGCGTGAGCCACCACGCCTGGCCAAAAAATAGCATCTTTACACCTCCCCAAATTAATCTCTTAATATCACATATTTAATCGGTGTTAAAAATTCCATTGTCTCATTGGATTAGAATATATCGCTTGGTTATATTCCTATTACCTAGGGTGTGTGCACTTGGCCCAAAATTCCCTTTTAATATAATTTTCAGGCCATCTCCTTTAGAACATTCTCATTAGATTGAGGACAGTACAATTTAGTAAGTCACGTTTGTCTACCATCACTTACTCAATTGTTTTGTATTGGTGACCTTGATTGGATTTGGGGTGTTTCCATTTTGAATTGATCCTAATCATTTTAGTTTCCTTATAATAACTTTAACTAGTTTGGGGCTATATCTTGCTATCAACCTCAGGTACCACCTACATATCCCTTTGTCTTAATGAGTGACAGATTCCTGGTCTATTTTATTCCTTTGGGGAGAGTTCAATTTTTTTGTTGCCCTGCAGCTTCTGATTACCTGTAGGAGGCAGTATAACACAGCCTGTAAGAGCATTCTTAGGCTTAAGGTCAGGGGGACTTGGGTCCTAATACTCTACTGTCTTGGCAGGCAAGTTAGTTAACTTCTAGTTTCCTCATGTATGCAAAGTATATGTGCCAGCACATAACCACTTAGAAAATAATTGCCATTATTTATTATCATTATTATTTATTTTTATTGTAGATAAGTATTTGTAACAAGATGTTTTCTGTGGCCTGGTAAGCCACCTTTACGGAAACACTCGATTCTAGAAAGCAAATCAATTATTAAAAAAATATCTCCAGAGACTTTGGCTGTCAGATTCTTTGAACATTCTGAGCCTATTTTTCATCATTCTCAGCTTCACAAAGTATATATTGCATTAGCTTTCTCTTGTCTTAAAAACATGGAAATGAGAATTCTGGAATTCTTGAGGCAAGAATTCAGTTCGTGGCTAGGAGAACTTTATTCCCTTTATTTTCCCCATTATTTTTATTTTTCATTTAAAGAGGCCTGTTTTTTGAGGAGTTTGGCCAAGTCTCAGTACAGTTGTGTACTGCATAATGTTTACATCAACGATGGACTGCAACATACTATGATGGTGCCATAAGATTATAATGGAGCTGAAAACTATTGCCCAGTGATATCATAAAGTCATAGAAAAATATTTCTTGTAGCTTAAAATTTTTTTTTTTTTTTTTTTTGAGACAGAGTCTCACTTTTATGCTCAGGCTAGAGTGAGTGCCATGGTGTCAGCCTAGCTCACAGCAACCTCAATCTCCTGGGCTCAAACGATCCTACTGCCTCAGCCTCCCAAGTAGCTGGGACTACAGGCATGCACCACCATGCAGCTAGTTTTTTGTATATATATTTTTAGTTGGTCAATTGATTTCTCTCCGTTTTTGGTAGAGACGGGGTTTCAGGCTGGTTTGGAACTCTTTTTTTTTTTTTTTTTTTTTGAGACAGAGTCTCACTTTGTTGCCCAGGCTAGAGTGCCGTGGCGTCAGCCAGCCTAGCTCACAGCAACCTCAAACTCCTGGGCTCAAGTGATCCTCCTGCCTCTGCCTCCCAAGTAGCTGGACTACA